ATACTTCCTTTAGCGTAACAAAACAAAAAAACTTGGGAGACAATAACCTACTGAAGTTGTCGCTTTTAGGTGTAAGTGTGCGCGCGCGTCGTAACAACTTCATGGTGTCGTTTTTAAGTGTTGGTATGCGCGCGCATCGTATAAATTCACTCTCATCATTTTTCCCAAACGCCCCAAAAGAAGTATAACTCCAATAAGAAAAAGATACTTATTTCTATAAAATTCTAGCGTTTTAGCCTTCGCTAGTAGCACCAACGTGAAATCAAAATAAATTGAAGATTACAATAGCTCTTTATGAACAACACAAGTATCATTCAAATATGTAAATATTTTAGTTACTACTACAAGCTTATGATGCTTGCACCTTTAGGAATTAAATGCATTATTACAGAGTATAATATTGCTTAGTTTGTTCAATAAACTTTTGCCTCGTTAAAAAACCTAACGATTTTAGATAAATGCAAATTTTTGTTCACGCATTTTCAGTAACATTAAAGTTGCAAACACGTTACAAACTTTTTACAACCTTGTCTGAGCAAAACTATAATTTTATCAAGATTCTTGCCTAAGAATAAACTTATGTAACTTTATTTTCTCTTCTGTACCAATTTATGTGTTTTCGTTGATAAATTCTCGAATAACAACGCTCTCACAAAATTCTTGATATAAGAGGCACATATTCTAGGATAGCTCTACTAAATGACGTTACTGATAAGGATCTGATTAATTTTATTAACTATGCCGTAATTAAAACGAAATACGTCACATATAATAACTTACATATTATCAATAAAATTTATTTACCGACTGGAGGCGAAATTGAAATTTAGGGAAAAATTCTCTCGATTTTTTCAAAGGATGATATTTAATTATTAAAGAGGTATAATTAATAGTTATTAATTGCAAACATTGTTTTTAAAAGAGAATAAATAATGACGTAGTAAAAAGAAAGATCGAATTTGAAAATTCAAGTGTATTTCTAGAGTAACTCACAAAGTAACAGGCGATACAACTACCGAACATAAAGTTAATTATTATAGCTAAGTATAAAACATTATGTAACAACTTTGCCTCTAGTCAGAAAATAGTCCAAACTTTAGTTAAATATAAAATTATGCTTTTTTCATTATTAAAACTAGCGGACTGATTTTTCGAGATTCAAAAATGAGGTCATTTTAATATAGGCAATTAATTATTCTAAGTACACAGCACAACTAACCAAAAACTAATATGAGATAGAATACTAAGAAAAAGTATGTTTTGTAATTGAGTTTCATATTATATTGAAAAACATGTTTTAATACAGCCCCACATTATTTTATTCAAAAACGAATTTAGTACATATTACGCTGAAAAGAGCCGATACATAAAAATTGATACAATATCTGATACAGAACGTGTTTTATCTGTATAATGTTGATATTATGGTGAACAAAAGCTTTGAATAAAAACATTTCCCACCATTGCAATATATTACAGATAAAAACAAAATCGCCACAGGCGACAATTTTTTTTAACGTAACTTTAAAATAGCACGGTCTTCAATGCGGTCCCTTAGTAAACGAATATGAAGTCATCAATTAATCTCGGCCTGGATTCTTTGATGTCACAGCTAACTATACCGCGCGCCATTTCTTCGGGATAGAACACGAAAACTTTGATATAAATCTCGGAAAGTGTCATTTTATGCTTGTCTTAAAAAGATGCGCGAATATTTGTGCACTTTATTGTAACTGATTAATGTTCGGTTCATTTATGTAATGATTTCGCTCATTAATCATCAGTTTCAAAGCTTGTTTAAAACTATTAGTTTTAACAATGAAATAAAAGATATATCCAGAAGGAGAATATACATTTAATACTAATACGAAATAATGTAATACCCACCATTTATAAACGGGGAGTATTTTTGCAGTTACAAAATATACGTTATTAAAAAAGGAAGAAAAAAAAACGCCTTTAAATTGTCTATACGTAGTTTTTTCTTAATCCTCGAGATTAACCCATAGGCTGAATTGCGTATCTAAAGAACACGTTTCAAAATTTATTACTACCAGGTTAGGCTGATTATCCCTTCACAATCCCTTCGCGGCAGTTATCTCAAAATAGCCAAAAGACAACTTTAAACAACGTCTGTACCAAGAAACGCTTAACCAGACATTTAAACTGTTTAGTTTATATAAAAATAGAAGCACTCACAGGGAAACGAACCTCCGTTGTAGATCCACCAACTTAATAGGTGCCAAACAAAATGTTTTACTTTTAAATCCCGTGTTTAGACAACAATGCATTAAAATTTGTGACATTGTTTATTGTCAACTGATTTGTTACACATCCATTATAATAAATTTTCAGACCTACATACAAATATTTATAACAAAAACAGAAATAAGCTTTCACTAACAACAAGACAAATCCGTTACGGTCTTCGTTACCAAAGAAATTGTTTAAGCGGTGAAATAGTACACTATAGAAATAATACATGTATTTTATTATATTTTTATTCCCGCTTTTTAAGGTTTGTTAAATGTCATAATCAAAGATAGGCGGCATCTTTCAAGCAGTAGTAACAATTAACAACTACTTGATTATATGAAAAAAGTTAACTGTTCCATTTTTAAATTAGTATTTGGCATAATATTAAGTTTGACAAGAATATGATGTAATTTGTAAACATTACAAAGTTTCCAGATAATACGACAGGCATTTTAAATACCAAATTACAGTTTCTGTTCGACGGAACTAACATCTAAACTAAAATAACTATACCGTATCCAGTTTCTTTTTTCAAATTTACGGTAACGGTTTTTGTAACATCAATAAAAAGTTGTGTTACAATGTAATATCATTCGTTGAACAAAATTTATGGCAGCAATCTTTCTTGTTCTAAGAATAAAAGATCATTAGTGAGTGAAATATAATTTTTATTTTATTTTATATTTCGTATATTTTTCTTTCCTGAGAAAATATCACTATTAGTTAAGATGTTCTGTTCTTGTTTTAGTTTTTTAACAATTCACGAGTTTCTTTTCTTTAATTTCCAATTGAAACTTGCGCATTTAGCTACCTGAATCAGTTACGAATTCATTAGCATTAATTCCTTCGAGTCGAGGAGCATAAAATTTTTCTTTAGCCTTATTTTAGTAGATGTTTCTTTCTTCTCCAAAGAATATATTTACATAGGTTAGTGCGGAACCTGAAATGCTTAACAATAATCTTTTTAGCAACTTTACTCTTTATTTCTGAAATTAAGTCATATATTTACGCAGATCTAAAATTATATAACTACAAAATCAAGAAAACTATTTAGCTTATTTCTGTTTCTTTTCAATTTCTGAAATGATATCTGATAACACTGCAAATTTTGAGGCAAAAAATTGCAGTAAACTTTACTTTATTAGATTTTATAATTTTTCATTCATTTCTGCGACTTTTAAAACATACAAATCTTTTAAAGGCTGATATTTTTACGTACAGATAAAAGTTATTGAACCGAAACAAATAAAAAATTACAGTTATTTAAATTTCACATTCACTTTTATATTCAGCCAGGTTGTCATTTAATTGATGAATAACTTTTATTCAAACTGATGATTAAAAAATATACCCCTTGTCATTTTAGTGCCTACCTACATATTATCTCAACATAATATGAAACTCAAGCAGTCGATTCTTAAGTACTATTTAAAATTATACCTGTCACTAATTGCGTATGTCTAACTGAAAACCGGTCTATTTCAACTACTATTCAACTATTTGACTATTTCATTACAATGTGCATGTTATTCATCAACACATTTCACAATGGCACAGAACGTGCTTAAATTATGTCTTTTATAAAGACGATGGAATCTATCGGCGTATGAACTCCATAATAATTCATAAACATCATCAACATTCTTTCCTCTGTTGTTTCTAGGATCATCGTTGTAATACTAATTATAAGAAAAGGCAACGGATTTTAGGTCTCAAGTATTCGGTCCACCCACACTTATATATATCGAATTTATCAATACTTTTTTACTCTTAAATTATATTTGCAATTGTGATAGGCCTTAAAATGCATTATCAAATTATCAAAAACAAGCGTAATTGCGAAATCAGTCGAGAAGGGAAACAATATTATGATGTGAAAATGCTTTACAATAAATACAGTTAGTTTCATATCACATAATGAAAGCATAAAGAGAAGAATTATCACCTAAATAAAACCAAAATCACAGTTTTTCTGGACAAGATTCTTAACTTGTCCGAGCTTTTTTTTTCGTATAAATAAATTCTAAATATACGTCGCAAGAAAAATAAAAAATGTCTTTTGAACTAAATTAAGACCTAACTAATTCTCGTTCTATATAAGATTTCTCCTATAATATCTGTATTTGCTTCCTAATTCTTAATCAAATATCCTTCATTGCATTAGTGAAAATATAAAAATTGTTTAATTCCTAATGGTTTAAGAAACCTATATTACCATTACACATATTAACATTTTATATATATATAATATGTTCGTAGCTTGCTCTGCTTCGAATTGATCTTCCAGTGTATTAATATATTAGTTCGATTATTCAGTAGGCCTAATATAATTTAGTTACAATAGTAAACATTAGGCTCTCAACTTAGGTTCCTTAAGGGCTAAAGTTATTGGAACTTTATATAGAAATACCTAGGAATTTTGCGCCACTCTACAATGTCACTGCACTTTATGGGCACCTACCCCTCGTTTCCAAACCTAAGTTCCGCTCACACAGCACTAAGTACTTACAAAATCCATTTGAAAAATCCTTTTACACACAATTTATTGATCACAAGGACGTCTCTAGACGGCCTACCACTATTCTTCAGTTAACCACAAAGTTTTAACACTTTCTTACACCGATTCACGTGAAGACTAGAGTGTCTGGGCGCAAGTGGAGAGATTGTAGTGTTTGTGTGGTGTGAGCTGAGCAAGGCTTTGCCAGCAAGTCTGGACGCGGGGGTCGCGCCGCCTTAACACACATTCACCGAGCCAGGGGCGCTAAAACGGCGCTCGCAGCGAGGGCAAGTGCAAGGGAGGAAGCCAACGCCGCGCCGCGCGAGTAGGAAAGCTCCTCACTTTTTACAACTTCGTTAGGCGTCTTATCGTACTTGTGCGTCTTTTTCGTCACTGGTTTTGCCGTCGTTGTTGTGGTAGTGGTAGGAGAAATTGTTGGCGGTGGAGGAGGCGGTGGTAGAGTTGGCTGCGGTGGTGGCGCAGGAGACTGATCCTCCGGCTTGCAACAAACCCGAAATACTAGCTTCATATTATGACTGAGGCAGCGACCGCCAATTCGTCTATGCAGGTCGTCTTTACTAGACGTAGATATAAAGTAGTAATCCTTTCCTGGTAAAAACTCAAGTCCACCTGGTTGCGGCGTAAACGGCCGGAAAGTAATGGTGAAAAACATTAATTTGTTCGGCTTGTCGCATATTGCTATTATCCGCGGGTTTGGATTTGTTATTCTACATGTATCGTATTCTTCTTTACTTACATTATATATTATATACTTTTCCATATCTTCCTCGAATGTATCTGGTGCATACACGGGACATATTATATTTACTTGGTCGTATTCGAACTGAGCATTCCCTTTATTGAGATCGAATACATGATCAGTATTGTCTATTCGGAATATACTATTTGTTGTGTTCCAGTGTATATAAAAGGATTTTGCATAGTTCCCCATAACGCTTTCGATGAAGAAAATGAGAACGAGCAGTGTCCAAGGGGCCTGCCGAAGCCCGAAGTAGCCGTACGATACCATTCTTACTGTTTATCGTTCTCCAACTCTCATTATCCGATGTAAACTTGGCCCTTCCTAAGAAGCGTTTTAAATGTACGCATACCAATCCATATTTATAGACACTGACTTACAAGTTCTCACTATAAAATATTCAATTTTAACACAGAAAACACGAACAATCCGTACGCATTCAACATCGCACCGTGAAGTCCACCATGTTCGCTCCACACACTAGATTCTATTCATCGATAAATGTGGAATTCCATAGGACGTGGCCCACAGTAAAACGCTAGTGAAGCTCACTGAAACAATGCACACTGTATCCAAATCGCGTCCAATTTACTTCGCTGACAGTTTTTGTGTTGGTAAAATGTTGGAATTAATCAATACATCACAGATTTTTTACAATACTGAAGCGTTCTTTGTGGTATGAGCGAGCGTCACAAACAGGCGTAATATACGTAGCGCCGCGCGGCGGTCGGCTGAACTACTGGAATGCAGCTCTGGCCCTCGATACGCATGCGGCTCGTCCCCCGCCCCTCTTGGCGCTTCACTCCCCCCGTCTGTTACCGACGCGTTCAAGCCCCATGGAAACATACAATATGGCGCCATTTTGAAAGACCCAATACAACGAAAACCTCAAAATTTTAAGTCATATTATTTTTCATTTCATATAACATATATTCACGAAAGTTTGACTTGTTCTTAATTGATGCAGTTTTATATTATTTTCACGTTTCATATAATTAGAAGCTTTGGCCCATATACTAAAGATTATAAAATGTGAACGCATATTAGGTCGTTGTTAAGGATGATACCATAGACTAAATTAAAAAAGCTCAAAGCTTATTATAGTCAGAGTAAAAGCTTTAACTTAACTTGCATGATGTTGTACGAAGCAGGTGATTAAATTATGATAATTGCTTCACCTTTACGGAAAACTTTATTTAACTTGTAAGCGTTTAGCTTCAAAGCGGCGGTAATGAAGAGAGATATATACTAGTCATTGTATTACATTATTATGAATTAAACATGTCATTTATGAGATAGTATTTTTTTTTTTGGTTAATTTTATAACTTAATTTCCCCCATTTTTAAATCGATTTTGATACAAACTTACAGTTCTACGACTTACATACTGTTTATATTATGACAATAGCATGTTAAAATGACAACAGAAATTCACACAAATACTGAAACATCTTACTACGGACCAGTAAGCTGAAGTGGCAAAGGGCCAGTTAAATAGCACGAAGAATCTACAACCGCTGGGGAAGAAAAGTTCTCGGGTGGCAGCCTCGTGACCGTAAGCAAAATGTGCCCTACACTTTGCTGGCACCATGGTGCTAATGTGAAAAATGTTTTATTTTTTGTTTTTAGATACTTTTTTTAAGTTAACTTTGATATAAACTGGATAAAACTGTTTTAACTAGTTTAAGGAATATCTCTACTTGATTCTAAATTTCTGGCCGATAGGTTTTTTACAGAAAAAAGGTGACAAACGAGCACACCTGATGGCAAGTAAATGCTAAAGTCCATCGACATCTACCTACATCTATCCTCGATTAAGAATTATATGAAAAGTGTCTCCGGTTCTCTAAATTAACCATACTAAACACAGCTGAATTAAATTTCTATTTTACGCTGGTATTCTTACTACAACATAATATAGCTGTAGTGTGGCTCTACCAACAATGAGATGCGTTATCACTAAGATAAAATGCCTCGTTACAAATAAAAAGGGTTTCCGGTGGGTACTCTACATTCACTATACGAAACACAGGTATTTTGTGAAAGCGTGGTTCTTTCCTAGTTGAGCTGACCCACGCTACCTCGTGTAAAAAGATAGCCGTCGCTCATAACTAAACCCAAGTTTAGCTGCTTATTGTTATGTTTATTATTTGGACAAACATTAGCCGTAACATATATATTAGCAATATATAATATAAATACTAGGTACCGACCGAGTAGTGACGGTGTAAGAATATCCACTACCAACATATCATGCCGTGGGTGTCGAAGAGGCGACAGAGGTAAACAAATTAGGGGATGGGCAGCAGCGTCTTCTTAATAACGACTAAAAATAAAAAGCTGCGGTTGCCAAGCCGCTTGTTAAGCGTGGCAACTATGGCGAATATCCCCTCTATGAGGCAATTGATGGGGGAGGCTTATGTTCAGCAGAGGCTGTAACAGTAACGGTACCGACCGAGTGACTTAGGACTTTATCTAAAGTAAAAGCAAGAAAAGCACTAAGATTTATCACACACACTGCGTGATATCATTTATTGAAACCTTCATTTATTTAAGATACAAGTTATTAAGAATAAATCCTAATCAGCTATTTTATTGCTTTTCTTACAATAAATACGGGAAGAAAAGAGAGAATGTGTCGCTATGTTCGCTAAAAATTGACTAGACAATAAGAAAATAATATTTATGTTGTGTGTGTAAAATAAACGAAATGTATGTTTACTGCACTTTACTACTCTCCTCGAGGACTAGATGACTTTTAAGGTAAACTTGATTAACGGTGTTGGTGGCACAATTAGTTTTTGCATTACATTCTAAATGCAGGTACAGTTTGTGTTCACTATTGCATGCCTTAAGCGAAAGCGCAAGGTATGTTCTACTATCGCCTAAAAATTAAGATTCCAACGTTTTATCGAATAAAATCGTATCTAGCAATCATATTATACATATAAATGATATAAAAAGTACATTGTTAGAAAGATAAATGATTGTTGAACTTATTAATATTTTTTTTTTAAATCGATTAATTGCTATTTTGAAATAAAAAAGGGGTTTTAGTGGCTTATGGTGTAGATTTATCATATCCTCAAGGCTTGTAAACACGATAACTTTGAAAATATCAATTGTTTAACTCAATCTATTTTTTATTCTCTTCATCTATCACATGGGAAGCCACTGAATGTAAAAGGAAGTATAATTTTGTTTTGTTTAGCTATAATTAATTTTTTTCGGCTCCAAAATGGCGAAATTTAGGTTGATTTGGTAGCCTTGTATGTAAATTATTTCTGTAAATGAGGAGCTACAGACACAGAGTAGTTTACTCAGTTCAGCGTCAATCGCCGTCGTGAGAGGACATTGTTTCGGTTGTTTGCAGCGGCTCAAAAAGATCGCTGTATAAATACACAATATTCGAATAACCAAATTTCTTAAATACTTGATTACAATAATAATAAGAGATGTTTTTTATTACAATATTTTAAAAGCACTGAATAAATAATAGTAGTACGTACTAAAAGTAAATAAAACCAATTTTTTCATGAGTGACATTTTCATGGTTTTCGAGGGTGTTGAAACCGATAGGGTTGTAAAATGTAAATCCAAGGTAGCGGCTGCAATAGGTATACATTTTTTCATCATTGGTGTCATTTTCATGGTTTTCGAGGGTGCTGAAGCCGATAGTGCTGTCGAAATGTAAATCCAAGGTGGCGGCTGCAATAGGTATAATTTTTTTCATTATGGGTGTCATTTTCATGGTTTTCGCGGGTGTTGAAGCCGATAGTGCTGTCGAAATGTAAATCCAAGATGGCGGCTGCGATAGGTATCAATTTTTTCATCATGGGTGTCATTTTCATGGATTTCGAGGGTGTTGAAGCCGATAGTGCTGTCGAAATGTAAATCCAAGATGGCGGCTGAATTAGGTACCATTTTTTTCATCATGGGTGTCATTTTCATGGTTTTCGAGGGTGTTGAAGCCGGCAGTGCTGTCGAAATGTATTTAAACTACTTTAAAAAATTCCGTATAATCATGTTATACGTAATTTTTTTAATGCGCTTAAGGCATGCCCAATTGGATTTACCATTTTTTTAATTTTTTGTAAATACAGTAGAAAAAACATATTTAAATTCAGTGTTCATTTTTTTCTTAATAATCAGCATTAACAAATTAATAAGTGAAACTTGGAAAAATCTTTTTATAATAATTTTAAATATTTTAAATTATTATTTTCCTACCACGCCGCGACAGACGCGAAAACGTATCGGCATGTTGGTAATAATTAACGGGTCGCATCACAATTTCATCTCATTACGAAACAAATCCGTACTAATTAACGTCGATACGGTGTCTGCTTTCCGTTGTGTTGCCACGAATTATATAAGAGATTCCGTTAAAATGTTGTGCAAAAACTTTTAATACTATAAACAACGCTAAACTTTTTTATGACAAAATTTCGCTATCGGCAAATTAACAACTTACTACTATTTAGATACTTATATACCTACAACTTGTAATTTTACTACTCTATTTTACTACACAGTTTACTTTCAGAAGTTATCATCAATGCGGTTTAATAATATTGTTATGATTCCTTCCGTAAACAATACATAACATGTTACGGCTAAAATCCAATGTGCGGATATATCTAGGTTTAGCTGGCTACAAACTAGATGCAGCTAATTGCGGTTGGTTAAACTTAGCCAAGTCAGAGGCTGTCGTGAGTGGTGACAGAAGAAAATTGAAACAGGAGATGGGCAGCAGCATCTTCCTGATAACATTTTTTTTATATAGAATAAAGGTGACCAACGAGCACACAGTCCACCTGATGGTTAGTGGTTGCTGTGGCCCATAGACATCTACAACTATCTTCGTTTGCGAATTAAAATGCAGATGCCTTATCAGCCGTGAGGACTAAGATAGAATGCCTCTTTTCCAGTAAAAAGGGTCTCCGGTTCTTTACACTCACCATACGAAACACAGCAGCATTAAGCTGCTATTTTGTCGACAACCCGCTCGCCAATTGTGTCAACTACGGCAAAATCCCCCCTATGAGGCAATCTATGGGGGAGGCCTTTGTTCAGCAGTTGACTTCTACAGGTTATAATGGAATAAAATGAAATGGAAACTTATCTGTACACACTGCAACTATATCAAGGCTAAGGCTCATACAGTAGGGTACTCATTATGGCTTGGAGTTGGCTGCTCTTAGCTGTGGCTGTGAGCAGCAGTGGCCAACCACTACCACGTGCACTGCACTGGTGGTGCTGGGGATGGT